TCTGTGTGTCTGTGTGTCTGTGTGTCTGTGTGTCTGTGTGTGCGTGTGGGTGTGTGTGTGTGTGCGTGTGGGTGTGTGTGTGTGTGCGTGTGGGTGTGTGTGTGTGTGTGTGCGTGTGCGTGTGGGTGTGTGTGTGTGTGTGTGTGTGTGTGTGTGTGTGTGTGTGTGTGTGTGTGTGTGTGTGTGTTGAATATTTTAGTAGGGCTACCACGGTGCAGGAGCAGGTGTATCACAGTTATGAGCTCGAAACGTTGGCTGTAATTGAATCTGTTAAGCGCTTTAGGGTGTATCTAGTTGGAAAACGTTTTAAAGTGGTGACTGACTGTGTAGCGGTGAGAGCGGCGTTACTTAAGAGAGAATTGGTTCCTAGAATAGCTCGGTGGTGGTTGGCGATTCAGGAGTATGACATGGAGATAGAATATCGACCTGGTAACCGTATGCAGCATGTTGATGCTTTAAGTAGGAACCCACCTGTTGATAAAGTCTGTGTAAATATTGTTACAATGTCGGAGAATTATTGGTTTTTAACGGTGCAGCTGCAGGATCCTAAGGCGCTAGAAATTGTGAGACTACTGGCATCAGAAAACGTGGAGTAACACACCAAGGCGCTTTATAAAGTAAAACATGGGCGACTTTATCGTATAACTTCACATGGAGATAGGTTGTATGTACCAGCTATGGCTACATTCAGTATTCTTAGAAATCAACATGATGACATAGGTCACATGGCCCTTGAAAGGTGTCTAATTTTAGACGTATTGGTTTCCTAAGATGATGAGGTGTGGATTTGCAAAAGGTCAGTATGGTTTAGTCGAAGGGTTGTTACATCCAATTGAGCGTCGACCAGTACCGTTTGATACAATACACGTTGACCATTTGGGCCCATTTGTGAAAAACATTAAAGGTAACTCTTATATTTTAATGGTGGTGGATGGATTTACTAAATTTCTTATAGCAAAGCCTACAAAATCTGTTAAGTCGTCTGAAACTATTGCTCGTTTAAAGGAAGTTTTCGGTGTGTTTGGTTTTCCAAGGCGAATCATATCGGATCGAGGCAAGGCATTTACTAGTAAGGAGTTTAAGGAGTTTTTGGTGGATAGGGGTGTAAAGCACGTGTTGAATGCGGTGGCAACGCCTAGGGCGAACGGACAAGTGGAGAGACCCAACAGGACGATTGTAGAAGCCTTATCTTCGACTGTAGAAGCTGAAGGTCGGTGGGACGAGCAATTGTCGGATGTTGTGTGGGGGCTCAATCGTATGATCAATGCTGGGATACGTTTTCTCCTGCACACTTAATGTTTTCCCATAGTCATGGCCGAGTAACCGATTTGGCGGATGGCGAGCTAGCTAGCAACGATAATAACGGGGCTGGTGGGAGTCTCCAGAACATGGTGGATGTTCAGGGTGTCGAGCGTGCAGTACAAAGGAGCGATGTCGAGGCGAAGGAGGTTGAGGAGATTGGTAAGCCCGACCGGGTATTAGGTAATATCGACACCCGCTTGGTGGATCAGGGTGACGACTTTGGTCTCCAAGTTTCTAGGCGCGGAGGGCGAGGCGGGCGAGATGAGCAAGGTGGGCGAAGGAGACGAAGCTCAAGGTTACTCAACAAAAGGGCTATGACTAGAGATTTTTCATCTCCCATTGATCGAAAAAGGGTAAAACTTCAGGAATCATTAGTCAAGGCAGGTGTGGTTAGCGATGGACTCCCAAACCTAGAGAAGGCTGTGGTATCTGGCCCATGCCCGGTCTTTTCAGACGGGGAGAGAGTTCATTCCGATCACACTAGGGCTTTGGCTAATATCACAAAATCTGCACGTAAAATGAAAAAGCATTTTGATAAAGGTAGAAAGGTTGCAACTATTTATGAAATTGGAGATTTGGTGCTTTGGAGAAATTCAGCTACAAAAAGGGCGGGCGTAAGTGTTAGTAGTAAATTGGCAAATAAATTCGATGGTCCGTATAGAGTAGGTAAGGTATTAGGACATGATCGATATCGAATTGAGGCGATAGAGGGCGTTCGAGGCTACAAGCGCTTCCAAGTGGTTGTAGCTGTAGACTCTCTTAGACGGTATCACGGGATGAATGAGGTTGAGTATGAGTCTGATACAGATGAGGAGTGCCAGGGGCAGATTGATGAAAGTGATATCGACTAAGACAATTAGTATTGTGTAATCTATTCGAGTTCGACAGAAGGCGTGTGTTATATTCATATTTAATTTTTGGCGATTGGCGTTGTATTTATTTCATAATTAATGAAAGTGATTTATTCGGGTGTGGTGCGTTTCAATAACCCTGTAACAATATAGAAAACGAAAATGGATTTGTAGCACCTGAGGAAATAATAGGTAGGTTACCATTATTATTAAGTAGGTGTAAATGTTTAAAAATAACTTTTTAAGTGTAATTTTATATTTTTAGATGCGGACGAAATAGTTCAAACCCACACAAAAAAGGTGAAAACATATAAACATTCCAAAAGTGTAAGAACTGAAATTAAGCAACAGAAGAAGATTTCGCTACATACAGTCAAAGTAAGTTGCGTAAATTGTAAATTTCAGTGTCACAGTTTTTTCTCCGAGGAGGACAGAACAAAAACAAATCAAGAATTTTGAAAATTAAACTGGAAAGAAAAAAGAACCTTTGTTATGAATTCAACTGAAAACAAATACCAAGGCGCAAAGTAGAAGGATCAAAGAAAAACAAAACTTTAACATATTTTTTAAAAGACGCCAATGGTGCGAAAAAACGTGTGTGTAAAATTTTCTTCCTTACAACATTAGGATATAAAAAGACGAATGATTGGATAATCCATTCAGTTTGGGCAAACGCTAATAGCAACAATCAAGTACAACATGATTCAGATCGACGTGGTAGACAGCCTCCTAACAAATTGTCAAATACCCAAATAGAGAGCCACATCGACTCATTTAATGCATCTGTGTCTCACTACAGAAGAGTTTACGCCCCTAATCGTTTATATTTACAGAGTGATTTAAATGTGACCTTAAGGTTTGCAGACTTTAAAAAAAAATTCCCCGATTTTATTTACTCATATGAGAAATACAGAAAAGTCCTTAAATCGAAAATATATCGTTTGCCAAGTTAGGAAACGAAGAATGTGAGCTCTGCGAATCTTATCAGATGCACAATACAGAGAACACAGCTGAGTCTTTAAAAGAAGAATGTGAGAAATGCTGCAGTTGGAAAGAGCATATTGAGAAGGCAACAGAATTTCGTAAAAGATACACTTTGAACAAAGAAAACTTCAGTGAAGATAAAGATAATTTATGCGTGTCTGTTGACCTTCAGAAAGTAATTATGTTACCAAGATGGAAATGTTTAAAAAAGCAATATTTTCTCATCGCCTGATAGTTTACAATGAAAGCTTTGTGCCCGTTGGAAAAATTAGACACTTTGTTCCGGTTGCTGTTTTGTGGCATGAGGCCGTCAGTGGGAGACATCAAGAAGATATCAGTGCTTTTAATGCATTTTTTCTTCACCATAGGAATGTTAAAAATATTACTTTTTGCCTAGACAACCCGCTGCTTGGATGCAGAACTAGCCTATGCCCATTTTTGGCCATTTTGATATTTTAAGTACATTTGAAAGTAAAAGTACTTCTTTATTGGATGCAGAAGTATCGTAAGTCTATCTTCACAGCTAGCGCTCTAATCGGTCACAACTCGAACTAGCCTATGTTTAGTAGCGCTGTCTGTTTCAATGCAGAATCAGTCTATCTATGACCAGAGCCGCGATCGCGTCTATCTCAGCCAGCTTAAGTGGACATAGGCTAGTTCTGCACGAGTATGCGGTGGACATAGAATAGCAATTTAAGTACATAGTGGACATAGAATAGTTATGCATAAGTGCAAGTGGACATAGAATAGCAGTTTCAGTACATAGGTTTATTTGCGTTTTGCTTAATAAGAATCACTATTGTTGATTCAATCAAAAATTATTAAAGATGAACTCAAGAAGTGCAAAAATACTTTAGTTGCTTAAAGGAAAGGAAAACGAATGTATAGGTAAGAAAATTTATTGTTCGTTTGCTCGCGTTTTTTTTATTAAAATAAACCCTAACTAAATTATTTTATCAATAAAGTTTTGCTGGATATTTGTAATGGAAAAAAACTTTTTTGTTATTTCAGATAAAACTTTAAATTCAACTGACAATGATGAAGCGCTACCTTTAAATCATGCTGTTATGTCAATGGATTCGACCAATTTAGAACCACAAGGTAAATTCACCTGTTTTATTTGACATGCTGTTTTATTTGATCTTTTTTTAATTTCGTCCTATTTTTTCAACACGAGCTTCTTATGCCGGATCATTATTATTTTAATTAAGCATCAAACTATATTGTGTGCATGCCTAATTTTTTTCCCAATGAGAATTTGTTGGATATTAAATTTGTTATGAGAAAAACTCCAGAGGCCAATGATGGTACGGTACCTCCTGAATATGCTGTTAGGTTAATGGATTCTGCCAATATAGAACCACCACCCTACCTACATTTGAAGGAATCTTTAACATACCTAAATGATCAGGCATCAAAAACAACAATATGTCCAGAAATATTTTTCAACCCACCAAGCAACACTAACTCCGATGTATATTGTGAAATAGCACCAAAAAATTTGAGCGATCGACCCTGTGATTCCAAAAGTAGAGGATCTAACAAATTAGTTAATGAGAATAAGAATAATATATTGGAAAACGATTTGTACATGTCATCCTCTGACTCTGACCCTTATGCTTCTGAAAATGACGAAAATGATCCCGAATTTGTTTTGTCAGATGGGGAAGGTTATCAAGAAGAAGTATCAAAAAGAACGTCCCGTAAAAGAAAAAAATCCAAGTGCCTGGAGAAGAAATCTAATAAAGGCATCTCGAAATAGCGGAAAGGAATATAAAACCTGGAAAGAAAAACTACAGCCATCCCTGAAAATAAAAGACCCATGTAATTGTAGAATGAAATGTAAACAAAACATTTCTGAAGATGAAAGACAAGAGATATTTGTTCATTATTGGAATCTTGGGAGATATAAATAGACCCTATAGTATTGTTGAACTGGAACAAGAACATATTTTTGATTTAAAAGATCTTCAAGAAAGAACTTCCATCAATTGGGACAAGGATGAACATAATGAGAAAGTGTACTGGAATAAATTAAGAATCCTACAAACCAGGCCGGACTATCCAAATATGTGTTTGTTTAAATACAAGTTTGAAGATATCGAATTCAAAAAAATTAATTTGACCGAAAAGGGTAGAAAGAAAATCCAAATTAATATAAAAGATACTGAACTGAAGCAAAAGTATACACAAAAAATTCCATTAACTAAAAAGAAATACGACCACTTACAATTTCTTTTCCAGAAAAAAGTTATTCCATGTCAATATCATGATTTTTTTAAAAACCTTCCGTCTGCGGAAAAGGCCGCAGCCCAAGATTCAGACAGTGATGCTTAAATATATAAATGTATACTTTTAGTTCTTATTTATTATGTTAATATTTGATGTAGTTTCTAATTTTATTTGTTTCATGTTTCAACACAGAAATAATTTTTTGTGGTTAAATACAATATACTTGTTCACTTTTAGGCCTCCTTAAGTTATGTTTGATTAACTTTCTAATTTCATTTCCATTTGTTTGATGTTTCAACACAAAAATAATGTTCTTTGTTCGTTTGTCCTTAGATCCTTAAATACATACTTTTAGGTGTCATTGAGTTAAGTTTGTTTTATTTCCTATTTCCATTTCCATTTATTTCATGTGTTAGCACATAAATAATGTTATTTATCTCCGTTTAACTTAACAAAATAGAGTAACCTCTTATTCGACAAACATATTTTACAAAATTAGTATTTTTATTTAAAAAAAATGATACCTACCTTCTACATAATTAGATTTTAATAAGCTATGAATGAATCAGAACTAGCCTAAGTACTGTTATTAAGGCCAAGTTCAATGACAAGTGACGGCGACTTTTTTATCACAAGAAATACAGCTCTGAACGATAATATTTTCAAAAACTGTTTTCATAAATGGGTTAAAAAAGCTGTAAAAAATGATGGAAAGTCTATGGTTTGTTTTACTTTTAATGCAAAATATTTTAATAAGTGATATTTAACAAATATTTAAAAGTTATGGACTTTCCATCATTTTTTATAGTATTTAAAAGTTAAAACGCAACATACATTCTTTTATTTTTGCCTAATTATTTCAGGATTCTTGTGATAAGATTTAAAAATGTAGGGCCCATAAGATGCTGCCATCTGAACAGACGGAATAGATACTAAAAATTGAAAAATTGCAACATCGCTCCCTATGCAGACGAATGTAAAATGGCTTAGCCCAATTTGACCATGTTTATGGGTGAGGGGCGAGGTGGTGTGTGGGGAAAGGTTGCAAGTAAATAAATTATTCTATAAATGCTATTTTCTGTTTGGAACACAAGCATGCATGTTTGTTTTGAAAGTTTGACGTTTATCGTTTGACGTGTCATTTCAATTTAATGGACTTTAATAATTTAAAAGATGCAATGTACTTATATTATTTATATATATTATTGTAGATCCAGGTATGTTTTCGGTTTTTATTTTATTTTTATTTTCTTTATTTGGCTAGTTTGCTTATCACAATATTCAAATTTAGTAAAAAATAATGTAATAATATAACAATTATTTTAATAACAGTCTAAATAGGAAATGTAATTTAACTGCAATTGTTTTGATAACAGTATTTGCCTATGGTCTGTGAATTTCATCTGTTTCCGAATAATTACCCTTAAATATTTAAATTTTTCTACTAACTGTATAGATTTTCTTCCAATTTCCTATATTGTTTGTCCACAAACTGCATATAGTTATTACTTATCAGCTTATATTTTGTTTTAGGTATTTGTGTTGATTTTTAACAAATGATTGCAACATCATTTATAAACATTTTGCAGAGTTTCATTGACAATTAACTCTTAGTTATCTGAATCCTTACAACTTACAAGAAACATAGATAAGGACATCAAAGGCAAACAGGTAAATGTCATATTAATTATTGCAACATTAACAATCATTAATATAAATTAAAAATAACAGGGGACCTAATTTTCTTCCTTTGATGTGGTTAATTTCTTCTGATCAGAACAGCGATTCTTTTGTGCCAACTCGACACATTACATACAGAATAGAGAGTCATTACATCAAAATCGCTGTCTGTCGAACAAAGATAGGAGTCTCTATAGGAGACGTATTGAAAGATGAGAATCCCACTACATATGTTATTTAATTTTAATATCTCTGACCTGATACTTAGGTAATCTACATGCTACTCCAATGCATGCATTATGGCATAGATATAAAAAAACCACCTTTATACCAATACTTTTTATTTTTTTTTATCGAATGGTTTTGATCAATAGAATCAAGTGAATTTTAAAGAAATACAATTAATTTTTAATTGTACATATGGCGGGTTGTACAATAGGCAGTTAAAATGTAGACTTAGTTTAAACTGTGAACCTTGTTGTATACGCATCGGTTATTGTTAAACATAGTTTTAAAAATGACATTTGTTTTTGAATATAACTAGTTAAAAATAAAACTCTTGTTAGTTAAAATATGTTTAGAATATTTTTTGTACAACCTGCCCATAATGTATTTTGTAATAATTAAAAATCATAATATTCTTGTAAGGAAGTTGGAAAGCTTAGGGTTTGATCAGTCGCTGTTGAGATTATTTTCATCTTACCTAAATCATCGTTTTAATTATGTCTTTTACAACGGATTTTCATCTTCACCCCTCACAGCAACATCTGGAGTTCCACAGAGCTCCAAACTGGGGCCACTATTATTTAGTATATTTATAAATGACTTTGCAATAAATTTAACCTGCTGTTCGCTGCTGACTTAAAAATATTTACCTCAATCTTATCAATTCAAGACTGTTACTTTTTACAGACCCAACTTGGGAATCGTTGAAAATTGGTGTAATGAAAACAAGCTGTTTATGAATGTGTCTAAATGTAAAGTATGTTCCTATACTAGAAGTAATAACAAGGTGGAGTTTGATTATTTATTTAACAGCCTACCTTTATCGGACTTGTGCACAAATTGGAGATTAAGCAGGTATATTATTCAACCAAAAAGTTACTTTTTCAGATTATATTGAAAATACCGTTGCTTCCGAGGTTGCTTCTGCGTTGAAAAGCTTAGGGTTCTTAATTCCGTAATACTGGTTCTTTAACAAACTCTTAAAGCTTGAAGATCCTTACTTTTCTTTAGTTCGTTCCAGGCCAGAATATGCATCTCTTGTCTGGAACCTTATTTATAATATTCATAAAAGATCATTGGAAAATGTTCAGCGGCGATCTCTTAAGTACCTTTCTTTTAAAATAGATGAGCTGTATATAATTTGAGGTATTGAAGAATCTCTGCTTCTTTCGAAAAAAGAAGGGTAATTTTCAGTGTTACATTTTTTTATAAAATATTACATAACACTATTGATGTACTATTTGTGATAAATTAAATAAATTTTAATGTTCCCCAAACAGCCATTAGATATCATAAAATATTTTATACAGCAAGTATTTGAACGAACTTAGGAAGAAATTCACCTATAACGCTAATGTGCTCAAATTTTAATTAATTTTGTTCTGATTGGGATATTTATTTCGACCATTAGTTGTACTAATTTGTAGCTAATGTATTTAGGATTATTTCTTTTCTTTTTTTTTTCTTGCTGTTGCTGAAATAATTTTCTGTCGAAATATTATGTTTAACATTTATTTCATGTATTTTGTTATGTAAATGGATTAATTTGTTGGGCAATAAAATTATTTTTATTTTAATAAGCAAAAAAATGTTTATTTTGATGCACCTACCACCTTTAAAAGTGTGTCTGTATATTAACGAGAAATCCTATATAATTTCCAAAGAAAAATATTTTTGGAATAAATTCCGAATTCTATTTATTGATATTTGTTATTTTTTAGGTTCAATGACTCGAAACATGATGATCAGCTACACCAAGAATGGTACGAGATTAAGCAGATTTGATGCTATGTCACATTGTGGTGCGAAGACGTGGCTTGTATAAATTTGGGGTATCAGTTGATAGAAAACAGTACGCATAAATAAATTTGAATCTGCAGATGCATCAGAGATAGCCATATTCCATACCACAATATGTCATGCGTGAACTCTATGAGATTTCATCGGCTAAGTATCATTCCTCTGTAATGTTTTGTATCATTAGGAACAAGCAACATTGTAAACAATTATGACCAGGGTTTTTTGACCTTTTCCCTAGGTCAGAGAGAATAAGTGAATACTAAAAATAATGTATAGTAATAAAGATTGAAAATATATATACTTTTAAGAGTTTTATTATGTCAGCCATAGTTTTATACCAAAAATGAAAATAAACTGAAATTATACATTAAAAATACATTCATAAATTAACTATATTTATAACACTTATCGACTCTCCTGGCTAAAATATTACTTATCTATCTATTAGGCTCTGTTCCGCCTATTTTTTGCCTTTAGCCTCCTTCTGACACTTCCATTCGTGCTCATTCAGTGTAGTATCCACATAGTTTTCAGAATATCAAGTGTTATACCTACCTATCTGATGCTTGGTCTTGCAAAGTTCATCTTCAGTACACCTGCTTATGTGACATCTATCTTGATGTCAAGTTTGATTGAACACCCGTTTATTGCCTATTACCTTTATACTTAACCAGTACTGGCTTGACTCGAACGCATATGTCAAATTCGGCCAAAACACAGCCTTGGTACACAAATATCTATTTTACCGCTGGTTTCATTACAAAAAACTGGAGTAAAGGGTAAAATTATCTCTTGTCTAGTACACTCGTATAATACACTTGAGTATTAGCCTATATTATTTTTGATTGAAGACGTATACATTTAAAAATGTCGTTTACTTAAAAATAAACATTTAATTTTGATATTTTATTTAACTCGATCAAAACATTAAATTATTATTTTCCATGGCTTATACCGGACCTGTATGTACTCTAGTAGCCATGGAGTAGCTGACAGTGTTGCCGTCAGTTGCCGCCACATATTCATAAGTAACATACGTTTTATAAATTCATCGTGTTAGAAATTTGTTGACATAAAGAGATAGAAATTTAAAGTGACGTCTTTTATTACTTCGAATGAAAAAAATCGATAATGCAATTTTCTAACGTAAAAAAAATCGTGATGATATGTCAAACAAAATTGAACTTGGCCTTAAGGCATATTCTATGTCCAAATTTGGACATAGACTACATCATTTAAGACCTAACTATTCTATGTCAATTTTTTTCAGAATGGCTGGCTTTTATCATGAAAACTTAAAAGGTAGAAGAGGTAACTCATTTAACAGAATGTTAAAATTTTTAAACAATAAGATTTTACAGTATTTCATAAAAAAAAAAACAAAAAAAAAAATGCTCTCC